GAACGCATTATACGGCAATGCACTTGGACCTTTCTCAGAATAAACAAGTTTTGTTTACATATTAATTTAACGATGCTATCAGGCCAAATAGCAAAACATTCATTTATAGGTCAATTAACGAACAATGAATTGGATAGAACATAAAATGGCAGTCATGATATTTTTACGTATTAATCTATCGTTTTCCTAGAGGGACTGAGGAAAACCTCAATCATAATAACTGGTCTCCGGACCGAGATTTTAATCCGGGACCTTTCGAATACGAAGCAGTAGAGCAAACTACTCGTCAGTGTCATTCGGTCACGTAAATAGTTACTACTAAGTAAAAACGAGATTGGAAAGGTGTCCTCTTTGGAGTACACTGACATTTCACACCATACCATGCAGGTCTTTGTGGCACTATTGCGCCTTGGGTAATTCTTGCATGAATGGGACCCAAGGTCATGGATGTACAACAATGCAAACTCCTGGACCACATCTTTGCGATAGACAAACAAAATGACATATGGATGTGCCCATAAGATGTTCTTCATTCACGTTGGAGCGTGAAGAACGCTTAGAAATATTCTAAATAACCAACTTCAGAGACACAGCGTTCATGTTCGCTGTGTTAGCTGGTTAACATGAAAGTTCCGCGACTGTCACTTTCACGATGTTAGCCAGGCTAACACTGCTAACTAGAATTTGATGAACGATCCACTCCTGACCAGACCCATAAATGAGTCCTGGTTGAGGATGTGGGAGTCCTTCGGTCAAAAGTTTCCAGTCTCTTCATGTTTAAGATATAATCAGCATTTTGTTCAGGTTTTCAAATATAATCCCAACTGATTACGGAAATTTTAATCTCACTATACGGGCGTGCATTTATCAATTTTAATATCATTCGTGGCTATATAAAATGAGCTATTGATAATGCCATTAAGTGAGACATAAATAAATATACGTAAATTTCAAGCACTGTGGTGTAGCCTAGCTCCAAGAAAGAACTGTACTTGGTTAGTATCTTGTTAAAATGTTTCGACTAATTCTCCATGGTTTGATTTAGTGTATCTAATAAAATGGCGGGACCATACCTTAAACTAGACCACAACCTTTTTATTTCAAATCCCTAGTGACTAAACATTCGTCAATAATTTCTCATATCATTCGACTCTTCAGTTGAAACAGCATCGTTTAACGATCTACGAAATTTAATCTAAACTTGGTAAAGAATTCAACGGTGGAAGTAACGAAGTAACGGTATTACCGTCAGAGTGTACGTGTTTTGTTTTACTTTTGTTCCGTGCAGAGGTCGCAGGTGTGTCGTGATCAACTATCAGAGTGCGCCAGCGGGCAGCGAACATGTCTCGTCACGACTGGATTAAGTAACAGCCGGTCTGATACGAACTCCTTTCATAAAAGAAAATATTTACAGTTTCAGAGATGGAAAAACATTTAAAGAGGGCACCAGAATCGACACAACGTGATTAATTTCCCTTTTACTCTCCTGGCTTTTGTGAATGTAACTTAAGTACAATTATAACATGTTCCATTATTATTCTATTATTATAGGACTCTGCGGTTACTAATAGCATATGGCAGAGAATTTATTGAGATATCGATATTGGCTCAGCCTGTAGGAAATTCGCTGCCTCTTAAGAACATGAAGTTCAGATTTTATACAGGCATAGACAATGTATGATGGTGTCAAAATGAAATTTGCTTGCAAACTAGCTCGTTCAAGTTACAATCCATAATGGATTCTGTTCTGTAAAAGTGATATTTTGGACCTAGAAGTGGTTTTATGTCCTCCCCTCTTACCTGAAGATGGAAAAAGATTCAATTTTCGAAACGTAATTTTACTGAAATGCAGATTATAACGCACCGTCGTCAGAGACCTTATATAAAAAGTAATTTATAATGAAGTTTTGAGTTAAAGCCTTACTGTAAACACTGAAAATTTTTCTACCACGTGCTACCAGCATCACTTAATTGTTAGTAATAAAGTCATTTCTGTTTCTGACATGAACTTTCAGAGATGGTATAAGAGGGCATTATTTAAACATTTTGTAGATGAAGACTACAATTATGTTGAAAAAAAATGTTTATGTTTCATAGTTCCGTCAAATTTAAAGACAATTTACATCCGTTTCCTCAATATATCAAACTGAAACCTGCGTGGTTGAGGAGTTTTCACCTATACCGAAATAAGAGACGGATTAAACCGACACTTACTATTACAAGTTATTAGAAAACCTCCTTTTTCATCGTGGGTTACCATTTCATGATTCTCCGTTCTAATATCTATCTTGGATAATATATATTTTGATGCTAACTAAACGTTCCAGCAGACATAAGACATTACCATTGTTTCCTGAAAGAATGTTTGTTATTCTCTATATTGACAACAGAATCAAAAAAAAAAAGAGTGTGAAGGAGCGAACTCGATTCATATGGCTCAGAATAGGGACCAAAGACAAACTTTTGTGAATACCGCGATGAACCTTCGAGTCACATGGAATGTAAGAACATTCTTAACTAGATGAACAACTATTAGTTTCTCAAGAAGCTTTCTGCCCCACGAAATGTTAGTAACTTCATACTG